TCCCCTCCCTCCCACCCCCCATCAACCCTCAGTTTGTTCTCAGTTTTTAAGAGTCTCTTATGCTTTGGCTCTCTCCCACTCTAACCTCTTTTTTTTTTTTCCTTCCCCTCCTCCATGGGTTTCTGTTAAGTTTCTCAGGATCCACATAAGAGTGAAAACATAAAAAGTTACTACCTTTTAGGTTAGTTTGATGGGGTGCCTGAGTGGCTCAGTCGGTTAAGCGTCCGACTTCAGCTCAGGTCATGATCTCACGGTTCGTGAGTTCGAGCCCCACGTCGGGCTCTGTGCTGACAGTTCGGAGCCCGGAGCCTGCTTCGGATTCTGTGTCTCTCTCTCTCTCTGCCCATCCCCCACTCATGCTCTGTCTCTCTCTATTAAACAAATGAATAAACATTAAAAAAAATCTTTTAGGTTCGTTTGACATTTGGAGTCGTTTCTTTCTCTCAGTCAGATGATCCTCACTGAAGTGGAAACACTAAAAGAAAGGTGAGCAGAAGGCCTGCAGTGGTCATCTCAGCTCTGAGTTCCCACCGGAACCAGTTCCTGTAAGTCCTTGGAGTGTGGCCTGTTATGACTGAACACACCTTAGACATTACCCACCAATGGGGCATCAGCCACCGTTATTCATGAACTGCTGCTACCATAGCTGATGCATGCTCTTGGTTCTAAATAAGGTGTGGCTTATAAGAATTTTAATTTACGGCCATGGATACTGCTCACCTACTTTGGATCTAATTTCAGCCGGAATAGTTATTTGACAAGGCATTCATGTGGCTGAGAAACTCTGACTCTTTTATTTAAGCTGCTGATAGATTTAGCTGTCCTCTTTTTGAAGATTTGCACATTTCCTGGCTTACTTGGAACTGGTACCATGTGGGATCAAAGACCGCTAGAGACCCTGTATTAATTCTAATAAATGTTAAAATAAAAGTTAAGCTCCATTTTCTGGTTCCTGTTGTAACTGGAAAGAATAGCTCATTCACAAGAAGAAAATGAATTAAAAATTAGGAACAGTGTGCCTTATCTCTTCCAAATGTGGGTACAGATATCTGTTTTGCTTTTCCCTTATTATATCATACAGCAAAGAAAGTCACATTCAGTAACAACTCTATGGCCTCCATCTGGGTCTTCTGCTCTAGGGGTAGGAGGGAACCAACTCCCTTTAGGGTTCAAAGCTCCCCTTGCTTCAGACCTTTTGTTTCCTTGTTGCTGCCGAGAGGCTCGTGATGGCGGCCATTGCCTTCACTATCCCTGTGTCGTGTTCCTTCCACCTCCTTTCCTGATGTATGTGTGTGCGTGTGCGGGCACTGGAATCTGGGAATAATTTTGCTGAGAGAAGACAGAACACATTTCTCAAGCTTGCTTGAGGTTTGGCCTCCAAATGCCAGTGTGAATTTGATTTCATGGCCCATCTCATGAACTCATCTTAGGGTTCAGGACTCATATGGATCCTTCTAGGATTACTGTTCCCTCTACCTGGAATCATGGCTCTCAGCTTGTAAATCTCCAACAGAGAAATCTAGAGGAGCAGAAGAAAAATTAAAACCTGGCAAACTACGGGGCTCCTGGGTGGCGCAGTCGGTTAAGCGTCCGACTTCAGCCCGGTCACCATCTTGCGGTCCGTGAGTTCGAGCCCCGCGTCGGGCTCTGGGCTGATGGCTCAGAGCCTGGAGCCTGTTTCCGATTCTGTGTCTCCCTCTCTGTCTCTGCCCCTCCCCTGTTCATGCTCTGTCTCTCTCTGTCCCAAAAATAAATAAACGTTGAAAAAAAAATTTTAAATAAAAAAAAAAACCTGGCAAACTAAATTCCTACTGATGACAAGTGGTCTAGTATTTCAGTTCTGTTGTGTGTTGTTTTCGAAGGCTTTTTTGTCACAAAATGACCTGAAAGATAGTAGAGAGTCTGTAGGATTACAATATGGTTCTATTACATGAGGGATATGAATGATCCCAAGATATTAAATTTTTTTTTAACATTTATTTATTTTTGAGAGAGGGAGAGACAGAGCATGAACGGGGGAGGGTCAGAGAGAGAGGGAAACACAGAATCCGAAACAGGCTCCAGGCTCCGAGCTGCCAGCACAGAGACCGATGCAGGGCTCGAACTCACGGACGGCGAGATCATGACCTAAGCCAAAGTCGGACGCTTAACCTATTGAGCCACCCAGGCACCCCGATTCCAAGATATTTTAAAAGAACCAAGGATGGTTAGGATTGTCAGTTACCAATACAATTATGTGACTCAATTTCTAAACGGGCCTGGGGTGAGTTTCAGTTTCCTTACAAGTAAAAGGAGGAAGATGATTTCTACTGAACACGGTTGGTGTGAAAATTAATGAGATGATGTGTCATACAAAGCACTTAACACTATGCCTGACGTGGAATAAGCACTCAATAAATGGAAGAATATGTACACACACACACACACACGCACACACACCCTTTATTTTCACTGTCAGGTCTTGTCTATTTGTACCTTCTGTTCAGGAACCTTCTTTATTTCTCTAGCCTTTACCTCTGGCCTAACTTCTGGTGTCTAGCCAGCTGTTCCTGATGCTTCCATTAAACTGTCCTTTAAATGGTTATGTTCCTTTGACCTGCTGACAGTGACTTTTGAAGGGAACCCAGTACGGTGGTGATTTTAGGACTCATAGAACCATGTGACTTTAGAACTTTACTTGAAAGATAAGGAATATGAGGTCCAGAGAATGTAGGGAATTTCTCCTAAATCATACAGTTTTCAAATCTGGATTTCTGGGTTGCCAACATTGTCTTTTACACATGTAACAGAGTTCTTCAGACCCAGAGGAGAGTCCCGGCAAAGCACAGGATTTAGGTTGAGAAGGGATTATGTCTGAAAGTAAAAGAGGACTGATAAAATGGTTACAAATTGTGACCTTGTGTAAGGTACGTATCTCTCCATTTCTAAAATAATAGGCACCTACTTACCTCATAGGATCTTGTGAGCTCTAAATTCTAGACAATGTGGGTGAAAATGTTTGTAAACTGCAAAATGCTTCATAAATACTAATTTTATCTTTTTTATGCTATTTTATCACACCATTTACATATGTGTATATACATATACATGTTAGATGTATATTGGGACATAAATGTGTATATGTGACTCTTAGTAGATTAGTGTGCTAATAAAACCATTTTCAATCAAACCCAACTTTTTTCTGGCTTTTACCTGTAGTGTCCAATTGTGGTAGGCTCTCTGTGTACTGCAAAGAGAGCTCAGGATCTTGGAGGCTGGGCTAAGAATGGGAAAGGATGCAGAAGGGGATTTTTGCTGCATTGAAATCCACGTCAACCAGTTGGGTGCTTAACAGGTGAAAAAGCCCCTTGCCATAAGGAATCAGGAGATCTTGCCTTGGAAGGGCTGAATATATGGGGATCTCAAACTACTTTCATCTTCATGAATATTAAGCTATTTCCTTGAGTCTCAACGGATGATTTACTGGGATTAATTGCTCTGTGTGTGACTTAGAAAAGTAAACGTGATTCTAGTTTCTTATCATCCAGGAAAGTGTAAAGAGCGGGCAGAAATGGCAAATTCGTGTCCACTTGTGGGCACTCTTGGGTTGAGTGGTAGTGATGTGTTAGAGAACCGTGCAGAAGGAGATTTGGGGACTGAGGATAGGTCAAGTTGGACAAGTGCCGTAAGTAACCTAGCAGTGTGTATTGTAGGCTCAGGTGGGAATAATATATGTACATATTGGAGATAGCGCCAGGGCCTTGGTTATAGTCCTGGTGTCATCCATCACATCCACCTGGGAGACCTTAAACAAGACTCTTCATCACTCAGGACTTCAGTTTTCCTCATTTACAAAATAATTAGCATGGCCATTTTGCATGGCCATCTTCTGTTTAGAACAGAGGGACAGTTTACAATTTTCTTCATGTCAACTCCAGTACACCTTTACCAAGGAAGATGACCGTCCTTAGTGATTACAAAGGTATAATTCTACCTTTATTGACCTTATAGGATCTTGTGAGATCTAGATGATATAGAACATGTGTGAAAACATTTTGTAAACTGCAAACGTTGCGTAAATGTGGAGCCACAAATAGTGGCTTCAGACCCTCCAGTTTTCTAAGTTATATTCTCTCTAGACAGTCAAGAATATGAAAGAAATTCCTTTTAAAGAGTTTTCTCAGAACATTCTTTTGGCTATAGCAAAGGAAAATGAAATTAATAATTATATTTTTAATGGATGAAAGCTGAATGTGTTTGACTTGGAACCTTTCATCATCCTCTATGACTCTCAAAAATGAGAGACAGAATTGCTATATTTTCCTTTTCCATTAAGAAAAAGGAATTGGGGCGCCCGGGTGGCTCAGTCAGTTGAGTGCCCGTCTCTTGATTTTTGACTCAGGTCATGATCTCACGGTTGGTGGGTTCAAGCCCTGCATTGGGCTCTCTGCGCTGACAGTGCAGAACCTGCTTGGGGTTTTCTTTCTCCCTCTCTCTCTGCCCCTCCTGTTTGTTCTCCCTCTCTCAAAATAAATAAATAAACTTTAAAAAAAAGAAAAAGAATTAATATGCTTGTTTGTTTCTTTTTGTTTGATACACACTTTTACAAAATCTGTTTTCCCCCTAAAATCAAGCTTATCTTTGTCTCAGAAGATTTTTTTTGGCCTGATTTTAGCTAAATCTTTTTTTTTCCAGTTCAAAAAAGGTCATTCCGCACTTTGCAATGTTTTTTCAAGTGATAGGGACCCCAGAAAGTTGACAGTGGGATCTCTGGAGGTTGTCTGGAGGAAGTTTGGAAAACCCTCACATACGCAGCCTGCTACACGTTGTATTCCTTCTGTGAGATTTGTGGTTTTATTTTCTTCCATATTGTCATTTTATTCAAAAGGGTGGAAGATTATGGATGACTAATTGGCATTTTAATTAAGGCAAGGGATGGGGATTAGTGACTTTTAGCTCATGCTTGCTACTGGCTTTTGAGGAAAAGATCCCATGTATGACCCCTCGGTCTCTGTTTTCAGATCAGACTCCGACCCCAACGAGATTCCTGAAGAACTGTGAGGAGGTGGGGCTCTTCAATGAGCTGGACTGCTCCCTTGAGCATGAGTTCAGGAAGGCTCAGGAGGAGGAGAGCAGCAAGCGGGTAGGTTTGCTTGAATGGACACCTCGACAGGTGCCTCCTCTCACCCCCATTAGAATCTTCTGTGTGGAAACTTAGGTGGCACCGCAGATTGTGCTGATGTGGCCCTACAACAGCATTTTATGCATTTGCAAGTATTTGTCTCATGTTTTTTTAAAAAAAGGATGAAGCCCTGATTGTGGTAGAATCCCTCAAGGGGAAAACAGACATGAAATGTGAAATTCAAGCAAAAAAAAAAAATGTACCTGATTCTTGAACGTTGAGTTGGGCAAACTCAGACTTCTTCTCTTCAAAACTAGTTGATTTAGTTTGCTAAATATTTAGTAGCAAGTCTTACATGGGCGTTGCATGCAGAAGACGAAAGTCAAAGAGACAATAGGCAAATAATCATAGCAGGAGGAGAGGGGGGTTTCATTTGATTTTGACAACCTGGGGTAAAATCTTCCCAGTAGAACTCCACCAGCATCACAGTTACTTTCCAGTCGTATTATTGAACAGCTGTTAGTGTTGAGACAAATGATTTCAATGTATGTGTGGATTATTTGTTCTTAATAATGTAGAAAATCGACTTTATGAACGCCCCCACAATATATTCAGTTTATTGTAATGTTGTGCTTGTATCTTAAAATCACAATAAAGGAAAGGAAACGGGGTCACAAGTAAATGTGATAATTAGCATTTTTCCCATCGTTACGATAGAGCATTATTGAATGCCCACGATGTACTAAACAACAAATTAGACACGTTCCATGAACAGAGACTTAAAATGTGGAAGTTGGTTGAAAGGAAGGGCTGGCTAAGTTGTCACGGATTCTGAAGTTCCAGCTGTTCCATCCGGAGGAGACATTTTAAAAGGCTCTGATATTTCAAAACCTTCGAATCCTCCTGTATGTGAAATTATAATAATCCCTCGACCAGACTTTTCATGTCACATTCTTACATCCAGAGAGTCAAGGGCTTGCACTGAGTCTGTACCGCTTTAGGCAACATCATGATAATTGGTGAAGGAGACAAGAGAGGTATGAAATCTCAATCAACTCATTTTATTTGTATATGGTTACTTTGTCATGCGTACCTGATACAGCCACTTCCCTCACCCTCCAAGTGACATGAAAGGCTCCCCCGCCCCTTTTAAACAAATACTTACTTAGCACTTGTTAGCCAGGCGCTGTTCTGAGCACTTAAAAATTCAAGTCAAGAAAAATAGAAGGCATATGTTCTATAATTCACTGCACTAGAAACGTATTTTTTAAAAATGAAAATAACAAGGGCAAAGAAGAACCCAAAAGTCTAGTAAATTTCCTCTGGTTGAATAATAAATTTAGCTCTCCTGGTAGACAGGGCATGTGTGAAAGACCAAGGGATTAATAAATTCATTCTTTCCTCAAGAGAGTCAATGTTGGCTTCTTAGATTAAAACTGAACTATAAGAAAGATGTGTACTGGTTCATTTTGGTTCGTATTATTTTCATTTCCGGTAGAATGCTTTTAACCAAAGTATGTGCCCTTGATTTTCTTATAGACATTTACCGAGGACAGCATTAGGAAGCCCATGGTAGGGGTGTGGTTTTAGATGTTCTCCTTTGCGTAGTACTCAGGATCTTCTATATGAAGCCCCATGGGAGGAAATTCTTGCAGGTCTGAATTCCAGGAAATACTTTGCTTCCCCCAAAGGAACTGAAATATTTTGTCCTCATGGACATGAGAATCCTGTAACTGGTTCTGTTTCTCTTTTCGCTTTGACTGCTCGGTTAACAGAAAGCCAAGTTTACTGCTTAACTTTGAGAACTTTTTAGAACACTATGATGAACATATTTTACTTCTCCCCAGACTAGACTTTCAGTTCTAGTTTATATTTCCTCTGGTCCTGATTTTTAATTTAAAAAACATTTCTATGCTATACATTTTTTTTTTTTTGGCGAATTGCTTTTGAGTCCTTGTGGGTTGAGAACGAGTATAAATAATTAAACTTTAAAAAATTCAAGTAATTTGGCAAGCAAAGTTGAGAAAAAGAAGACTATTGTAGTTGTAGAAGTACATATTTTAAACACATCCTTAAAACATTTTTAAAAAGTGTCTTTTGAATGTTGCTTTTAGCCATGTGCTGGTTTTGTGATGGGCGTTTGGCTGAGGGTAGTCAGTTTCCCTCATGGTTTTGGGGTGGGCATCTCAAACCCCAACTTTACTTGTACACCAGGAAAGCTGGACAGCATTCAGGCTGTTGAGCTGTCCTCTCCCCTTGCCTCTTTCAAATCAGAGGGGCCAAATCCAGCCTTGGGTGGCCTTGGCTTCTCGAGACCTAATGCACAATGACTTATCCAGCAGCCAAGTGGGCTGGGTTGGTGGCTTCTGCGTGGCATTTCTTTGGAAGCCTCAGGTGGATAAACGAAAGGTAGGGGATTGTCTCCAATCTAGCAGCATAGGTTTGTGCCACCTTTGACCCCACTTCTCTAACTACCAACATCTCTGGCACACTGCCACCCACAGCCCCTGCTTCATTTCTTCATCCCTTGCTTGAAAAGGAGGAATACAAGCTCTTTATTCAAAGCAAACCTTATTGTTATATATTATATTTTGTATGCAATGCTATCTTCTACTTCCTTCCTTCTGCTTCACATTCAGATAATTATTTCTTTTTAATTGTACATCTCCAACCTTCTTCTGGTTTCTTTTCCTCTGGGTATAAGTACTTTATACAAAAATATCGGAAGATTTAGGCTGGTCCTTCCCTCCACCTCTGACTTTCTAGCTGCAGTTTTATCTAGAACATTCTGTTCAAGAGCAAATAGAGAATTGATCCTTGCTTATTAGCCCATTTGGCCATCCATTGGGCAAAATCCTATTCTAGGGACTATCTCTAATCCTGACAGCCTTCTCCAAAAGCGTATCAACGTATGTATAGAATGAGGACAGGCTAGAGGCAGGTCATGACAATGGAAAAAGCCCTAATATCTGTATCTGTATCACATGTAGAAAGCAACACATTCCACAGTTACCCAATCTTCCACATAAGTATAAGCTCACGGTTTCAAAACTCTTTAATAAGAGATGTTTTTCCCTTGAAAAAGCATCCATCACTAGCAGGTGTCACAAATCTCAGTTTGCCTGTGGCTTAGAAGTCAGGGTCGTCTATGTCCCGAAACAGTTGAGAAACTTGTGCTCATCATGTATTCATTCAGTAAATCTTTTTGAGTGCTCATCACGTGCCAGGCACTGTCTGAGCCTTGATGAATATTACCCAGGGACTAAAGCTAATTAAAAACAAAACCCTGCCTTCAGGCAGCTTGCTTCTCATGGGTAAGACAGACAATAAGTAAAAACAGTAGAGCATATAACGTGTCAAAAGGTGATAAGTGTTATAGCAGGAAAGGGGCAGAATGAGTGTCAGGGGTGGTCACCGGGTTGCCGGTAAGTGGACCCATGCAGCAGAGACCCGAAGGAGGAGAGTGGAGCTTTGCTTCAGAGCAGGTGTGTATTGAGGAGAAGAATATTCCAAGTGGAGAGAGCAATGAGTCAAAGCTCTAAGGCTGGAGGACGCTCTGTGGGTTGGAGGAATCGCAAAGAGGAGAGTATATAATAAGCTAAAGAGTGGGCACCAGGAGGGCAGATTCCAGAAGGTCTGCGGCCTCCAGATTTTTCTCCCGGTGAGATGGGGAACCGTAAAGAGTTTCAAGCAGAGGAGTGATAGGATCTGACTTATATATTAGAAAGTTCACTTCAGCTGCTGAGTTGAAAGTAAACTGTTGCAGGACAAGAGCTGGGAGAGAGCAGTTAAGGAGACTAAAGGAAGACTCTAGATTAAAGGTGATGTTGGATTGGTCCAAGGTGGAGACGGAGGAAGTGGTTCCATTATGGGTCTATTTTGAAGATACAGTCAACAGGATTTGCTGATGATCTGGGGAGTAATAGCAAGGATGGAATCAAAGGTGAACCAGGTTTTTGGCCTAAGCAACTGAAGTATGGGGAGTTGCCTGTGGGAAGAGCCAGTTTGAGGGGAAGACCGTGGAGCCTGTTTTTTTTTTTTTTTTTTTGACTTCAGTGGAGATATGGAACCGGCACGTGGGTATAGTGGTCTGTAATTCAGAAAGAGGCAATTCGTCTTGAGATATGAATTTGGGAGTCACTGGCCTGTAGATGGGGTTTAAATACATGAGACTTGATGGAATCGCCTGAGCCAGGAATCCATGGCGATGAAGTGGAGAAGGTCTCAGCATGGAACTTGGCGGACTCCTCCCGAACCTCCAGGAAAGAGTATTCAACTCTCCTCAGTGGCCAGGGCTGACACAGACGACCCTGAGGCGTGAAGAATCAAGTCAAGTACAGAACCCTACCGGTAATACTGAATAGACTCTAGTAACAGTTGGCAGTTAGCATGCTGATTTCATTTTCCGTGTCAGAGGCGAAAAAAACAGAAACAAAAACAAAAAAGATTTTTAAAAAGAGAAAAATAAAGAGGAAGGTGAGTTGACCTAATTTTAAATTTGATTTTTAAAAGACGGATGGAATAATGCATGCGTAGGAAGCGGGATATAGCTTCATCGTATGATAATAATTGGGAGTGCGTGTGTGTGTGTGTGTGTGTGTGTGTGTGTGTGTGTGTGTGAGTGTGTGTAAGGGGAGTTGAGAGGACTAGAAATGAACTCCTTTGTCTTGCTGAGAGAAATATAACATTACAGCCCCACGTGGTGAAGGACCCTGGAGATGAAAAGCACGGTGTGTAAGTGCTAAGTGTTGCTCTCCTCCCATAGGACCTAAATTTGACTCATCATGCTGATGCAGCAATAGCAAATTAGGGCATTTCCATGCTCTAGAATTCCTACCCAAATGATGAAAAGTGCAGTCTATTCCCAGAGGGGATTGACTGTTTAACACATGGGAACAAGGGACAAGCTACAATCTTAAGATCTTGGATCCCAGCTCAACAGGAGTCACGGAACAGGGCACGGCCAGGTCAGCCTCAGCTCGGAAAAGTAGGCGGCTCAATCTGATTAAATTCTGTACCTG